CAAGATGCGGTTTCGCTGCCTTTTTAAGCTTATAGTACTCTTTACTATCAGCTAAAATAACACATACTATCGTATTTATTTTTTTTGAAAAAAACGCGCTATATTTGTAAGAGAGCGCCCCCTAGCGTCTACGTTCAAAACCTTATTATTATTATTTCTATGTTATAATATAGAGTAAGAAACGCTCTTTTAAACGAGCCCTCGTTTGTTGGATTCTGATCATCCAGTCCTGAGTAACATTTAAATAAAGATAGATCTAACCTTCCCCCACCACTTTATTTTACCAGATAGGGGAATATGGTCCCAACGAAAAAAATCCAAAATTTACTGAAGATTATGAATCTATTATTTATAGTACCCATTATCTAGGCAAAGTTGCGCCACCTAGCGGCCGTTTTACAAACTTGAAAATAATTTCCAGCAATTTCTCATAGCCCCTTTAGTTATAAATATTTTTTTCCGTAAGCCCTACGGTTAATACTTTCCGAGTTACAGCCGAGAGCTATTATTAGTGGGACACCCGGTACGCTAGTCTTTAATCCGTCTTACCTGACCCTGACCTGAGGTGAAACGTTATGTGTAGACGAGTGTCAAAGAGCAGGGTAGGTCTGCAATGATTTTTTTCTCGAAAGATATTCGAATTTTCTCTATCTACCACGCTTAAATTTAATCAAAGTAGTTTGTGTATTATTCCGATTAATATAATATATGCAGATCAAGATATTGTTCCTTATCATTGATGAGTCATTATTATTTTTATTAATTATATTTATTTTATTATTTAATTTTTAGTGTATACCCTTAGATAACCTACAAGATTATACTCCACACCTGTTTCTAGTTTGTTTTATGTTATTATACACTGTATAGAAATTATATCATGCATGTTAATTTATAATGTATATAATAATTGTTAGAAGAATGTCTTAGAGCAAACCGTAGTTATCGTCAACAAATTAGGTGTGCTTGATATGAATACGGTCTTTTTCAATGCAACAATCAAAATATAGCGACCAACCAGAAATTTGTCGTTTAAAATAAAATAAGGGACATACGAAACGGATCAGTATAATTTGGGCTACTTTATGTGGCATCATATCTTTTTATCGGCTTTAAGTATTTTTAAAAAGATTTCACTGACGAGTAACCACACTAATTGACTACCTAGTGGTGTAGAAAACTTTCATTCTTCTTTTCTTTTAATTTAATTTAATATACAAAATACACATGATAAAATAAGATGTAATATTTTTTAACTAAAAACACAGGATGACAAGGGTTATTTTTTTTCTATGTTTATTTTTTTGTCCGTTTATCTTTAATAGTTTTAAACGGTCACTCCACTATTCGCGAAATAGGCAGAAGTAGGTCAATGTCCAATGGTAAAGAGACTATACTGAAATGCCGATGAAACACGAAATAACGTGTTTCCTCGTCTAATGAAAAAAGGCCGAGACGAGGCAAAGTTAAGCGGGGAAATACGAAATATTATACAAGGTGATGACAATTTCGATGCTCAACATTGGCATCTCAGAAACTACGAGAGATACGAATTCTGTTAAATGGGACAAAAGTTGCGTAATTAAAAGTTTGACGCACACCTATGAAGAAAACCCCGGTATCTTGATTAGTTTCGGATTTATGCCAAAAAAATGAAAATATTACGTTTATTTTAAATGACAATATCTTCAATACTATTGTATCTATTGCAACGTAACTTGGTAGTTTTATATTTTTGACCTCGGCCAATTAAATGCCGTTTTCAGAAAATTTCTAAGCTTTCTCGATTTCGCACTGCAACAGTCAAGTTTTTGTTTTCTTATGGCCGCCATTTTGAATTTCTATACTTATTAGATAGAGTGAAAAAAAGTCTATACGGTGGTATCTAATTTTTATTCATTATTATGAAAATTCACTAAAAAATAGATTTTTTAAAAATTAGCTCAAAAGATCAAGTCTGCCCTGGAAATCCCATTGACACTTTATACGTCAGCAATTTATTTTTTGTTTATTCTATTAAGTATTAAATCTGGACGCACAAAAATTTTATAGTATCAGTTCGATACAGGTCAATACTAGGAATTGTATTATATATTTAAATTTAAATAAAATTATATAAGTATTCTTGCCACTTAACTGCTGATATAGAAATTTAATTCTACACTGTGTTTGTCATAATGCAGATCAACCTGCTCTTACTACCGGTTTCGGAGCCCTACTCCATCATCAGGTGAGCTTGGGCAGTTCCACAAAATGACAACCACAGCGCAGAGATAGTTAATTCCGACTTGTCGGAAAGTGTCGGCTAGATATTAAGTCCCGAACGGGAGATAGCGGTCTGCGTGCAATGGTAGTACTTTCGTACCACCGAGGCGCACTATCAATAGTAAAAGGATGGTAAAAGGCTTTTTTTCAGGCAAGCCAAATTATAAAATAGAAAACAAATTTCTTACAGTATAGGTATATAATAAAATTATACAGTGTTGTTCACCACATACGACACGGAGTATTGTAGCTAAACGATGAGATTTTTACAAATTGTAAGTTTGGGGTTCGTTGAAGGACTATTAGAGCTACAATTTAAAAATATTTTTACAAGATACAGAGTGTCCCATATAAATAAAAAATATCAAAGTTGTATTTTTTTTAAATGGAACACCCTGTATATTATTACATTTTTAGTTACTACGATTTCTAAAAGGTAAATTTGATTAAGGTTTATTATACTTAAACCTTACCGTTTTTGAAATATTTTCAATTTTGTGAAATTGCAGTAAAAATTTTAAAGCTTCATTTCTCCAAGGGTATCAATGTTTTTAATACTAAATGTTTAATGAAGTTTATTTATTGATCAGTTATTATGTTGCAATAATAAAAATAATACTACCTTATACAGAGTGTTTAAAAATTTATTTTAAATACTTATTAGCTTCAAACGGCAATAACTTCTTTAATTTAAATAGAATGCCCTGTATATTTTAGGAGAATCAGATGCACAATTAAATTGTCTCAAATTGTATTATACCATTTTTTACCTATCCCTTCGTGTTTTCGTAGAAAATGCATTTTCTTATAATTTAGACCTCATTTATCAATATATCCATGGAATATTGACATTTTAGATTGTTTTTAAAGCAACAAATGTACAAAATGTACAGACTAGTAATATTATCGTTTTTAGCAAAACGATAATATTACTAGCCCATTTGTATGCAAAAAGAAAACTAATTAAATCTTTATAAAAGAGTATACCATTAATTAAATATAACACCATTATTTCCGCCCATATACTAATTAATTACATACCTAATTGTGTTCGTTAATAAATTATTATAAATAAATGTGGATTTGAGTCAGAAATCAATATAATAATAAGTTATCAAATTAAAGTCTCTGTTGTTATAAATATCATTTTTAAGGTGTTACTTTTTATCACACTGTCTAACGCCCATACAAAATTCAGTTTTTTAGTATTTGGAGCAATTATGATTAATCAACGCAAACAGTCAGTTAATGTAGTTTGAATACTGGAATCATATTAATTGGTCCTCTTTAACAAATATTTAAACAGTTTTTTTTTATTTTTTAATGAAATAAACGAATTATATCGACAATATTAGTATCTGTACTCTTTAAAAATTTGGTACATCTTTAAAAATAATCTAAAATGTCAATAGTCCATGGGTATATTGATAAATAAGTTCTAAATTACAAGAAAATGCATTTTCTAGGGAAACTTAAAGAGATAGGTAAAGAATGGTATAATATAATTTGATAGACAATTTAATTGTGCATCTGATTCTCGTAAAATATACAGGGTGTTCCATTTAAATTAAACAATTTATTGCCGTTTGAAGCTAATAATTATTTAAAATAAATTTTTAGACACTCTGTATAAGGTAGTATTATTTTTACTATTGCAACACAATAACTGATCAGTAAATAAACTTCAGTAAATATTTAGTATTAAAAACTTTGATACCCTTGGAGAAATGAAGCCTTAAAATTTTTACTGCAATTTCACAAAAATGAAAATATTTCAAAAACGGTAAGGTTTAAGTATAATAAATCTTAATCAAATTTACCTTTATTTTAATCGTAGAAACTAAAAATGCAATAATATACAGGGTGTTCCATTTAAAAAAATACAACTTTTATATTTTTTACTTATTTGGGACACGCTGTATCTTATAAAATTATTTTTAAATTGTACCTCTAATAGTCCTTCATCGAACCCAAAACTTACAATTTGTAAAAATCTCATCGTTTAGCTACAATACTCCGTGTCGTATGTGGTGAACAACCCTGTATAAGTATTCTTGCCACTTTACTAAAAAAAACTTAAATTTAAAGTTGTGATATTTATGTTTTTTTTTGATAATATTATGGCATATTAACATCATTAAGCCTATATTTTTTTTTAAATATTACATCTTGTTTTTTAAAGCTACCAGAAACTGCTAAATTTCTTGAAATACTTCTATAAATGTTCTATAAATTGCGCAGGCTAGATCGGAGTTTCTATTATTTCTTAAGTAAACATCATACATATCTCGTGTTTCCTCACTTGTAAACATATTCTTGACTGTTAACACATTTTTTTTACACTATCTATTATAAATTTTTATGTCCAGATTTGACACTTAAAATAGTGTAAACAAAAATGAACTTGCTGTCATATAACGTGTCAATGGAATTTCCAAGGCAGACTTGACTTTTGAGCGAATTTGTAAAAAATCTAATTTTTTTAAACGAGGCCAAATTATTTGTTTTGTACTTAGAGCTTTTAAGACACTTTTAGTTTTTTTAGACAGAACCAGTTTTGCCTGTCATTTATTATTAGAAGCACCGTAACCATATTCATATCAAGTAGAATTAGACCAATGCACATTGTATATTAATTTGCATATTTTATAATTTAGAACAAATTAGAAATGCGGTGGGGTATAAACGCGACTGATATGAGGCTATGTACTAAAAATGTGTGGTTTGTGTGATAGGGCGAAGACGGGAAAGCGTTGTCCAGGGGCCTGCCAGGAGAGCCGGGGCAACCCGGACGCAAAGGAGACAGGGGAGACGCTGGGTTTAGAGGTTTTCCAGGTAGTGTTTATGTTCCACGAGAAAAAACTCATTTGGTTGGTTTAAAACATGAAAAGTATATTTTCTTTATGTGCCCTAATAAAAGAATAACTGGGATTTATTGTTTTAAATGTTTGGGATTGTATATTTCACATTCTGTGAGTGTTATTTCGCTGGTTTTGATAGACTTTTAGTGGTAATATTCAAAAATTTCTATGAATTATTCTCTCCCTGATTAAAAACGTTTAAAAATAAAGATAAAAATGTCTAGTTCCATATATGTATAGTGTTTTATGTACACTTAAAAACAGTTTGAATATGTACAGTGTGTCCCATTTTGGTTGAAATCATAGGGTATCTCCGTTATTAGTGAAGATAGCATGGTGCAGTTTGCACAAACCTGTCCCACTTTTTTGTCAAACGGAAGATGCTGCAAACAAAATTTTCATAGCCCTCTTAGTTTCTGAGCTACAGGATCTTTTCGAAAATTTTGCAATTTGGGACACCCCCTGTATCTCTGTTATTGTTAAAGGTATCGAGAAGGCGAAAATTGCTTATTGTAGAACTTTTTACGTGGAATACAGTGGCGTAGTCTGTTTTCTACCAAAAAATATTTTTTGAAAATATGAACTAAAGTTATGTTTTTTCAAATGGAACACCCTGTATATTTATAAATCATATGATCTGTCTTGCTATGAGCTTCTCAAAAATATATATCACTCTATATTTATTTTTTACTATTTACTGCAATATTTAAAATATATCATTTTCTTATTAGTAGGCCGTGATAAATAACAAAAAATCAAAATGGTATTTACTAAAATAGTCATACACATATTAAAATTAATTTGGGATTGATATATTTTACTTTTGAAATAACTGTTACCACTGAAACTGTGAATATATTTTTCTTTTTTTTATAACGGAATGGGTTTGCAAATATCTAAATGCTTGAATTATTAAAGCATTTTTCAGGTGTTCGACATTGTTGTAGGTTGTAGTGCCCACGATATATTTCGAATTTCAAAAATCCCCAAAATCAGAAATCGAGAACGGCGAAATCCGGGAATCGAGGAGGCTATCAATATGTGTTCATTGGTTCCAATTCATTGATTTGAAAAATAATAATTTAACAGTATTTTAACATTTTCATAGTTTTGAGGGGGAATGTTCCCCATCTTGCTGAAAGTATATTTCACGTAAATTAGCTAAAGGAATATCTAAAATTTCCGATACGATAGATTATTCGTACGTATACACGTATTCCAAGATTTACAAATAGCGGTAGGGAGTTAAATTTCCCTAATATATAAAGAATTTATTAGCGGCTCCCAAAATAAAACAAGAGACAGATAGCAGTATACTTTTAATAATTCTTTAGTTTCTTTTATTTATCAATCATGGCCTACTAATAAATATGATCTTTTAATAAAAACTTTTAAATATTGCAGTAAATAGTGAAAATAAATATAGAGTAATATATTTTTTTGAGAAGCTTATGGCAAGAGAGATCATATGATTTATAAATATACAGGGTGTTCCATTTAAAAAAAACATAACTTTAGTTCATATTTTCAAAAATATTTTTTTAGAAAACTAGACTACGCCACTGTATTCTACATAAACAGTTCTAGAATAAACAGTTTTCATCTTCTCGATAGCTTTAACAATAACAGAGATACAGGGGGTGTCCCAAATTGCAAAATTTTCGAAAAGACCCTGTAGCTCAGAAACTAAGAGGGCTATGAAAATTTTGTTTGCAGCATCTTCCGTTTGACAAAAAAGTGGGACAGGTTTGTGCAAACCGCACCTTTCTATCTTCACTAATAACGGAGATACCGTATGATTTCAACCAAAATGGGACACCCAGTACATGTATATCTGTAGATTAGTTTAAGAACAGTATATCACAAGACCAATGTTTATTTTAAGGCGTATCTAGATACACGTTAATGTAAACCAGATATAATATTTAGGTACAGGGAGAAAGTACATAGCGGCTGTAAGACGCATATTTCTCTGTTAATTCCAGAAATGAAAATGTTCGCCATATTGTCAAGAAACTTAAATTTCATTAGACTTTCTTTTTTTTCTTTGGATTTATAATAAATATCTAATCTACATATAGTTAAAAAAAATCTTTAAAAGCAACCATTCTGAAATATACACTACAACTGAATTTTAAATTATTTTTTGTAGGACCTAAAGGTGATATGGGTTTGGCTGGACCGACCGGATTACCTGGAGCTTCTGGAGAACCTGGACCACAAGGTCCTCCTGGATTACCTGTAAGTCACTACTATTATAAGATACTTGACACACAATTTCTCCAATATTACAAAATTTATAACGGAATTATTACCGATTTTTTGTTTTGAAAAAAGTTTCGCGTTTAATAACTATTTATATTGATAGGGTTTACTTGGGCCTAAAGGAGAGAAAGGAGAATACGGTGACATAGGTCCTCCAGGTCTAATGGGACCTCCAGGACTTCCAGGCCCACCTGGTTATCCTGGACAAAAGGGTGAAAAGGGTGAAAAAGGAGAATCAGTAAGTATCTAGTAATAATCGTATTCTACATTGTCTTATTTTTTATATATTCGATTTCTCTCGATTCGATAATTCAACGAAAGAGAAATAAATGGAATATACAGGGTATTCCTTAATGACATGCTAATATTTAAGGGGGCGATTCTTAATTATTAGATTAGCTTAATTGATAATTAAGCTAATATTTAAGGGAGTGAACTTATTCTAAGAAAAAAATCATATGAACCTCAAAATTCATTACTACTGGCTCATTACTCATACTCACATCTTAACTTTTGAAATAAATCAAATTATGTGTACATCAAAAAAGGCATGTTGAGGCATTAAATACATGTATCAGGGTTCGTAAAGATATCTATCATTATAGCAGAGCTACTATAAATTTTTTATATTTTATCAACTCAGAAGTTCAGATATTTAGGACATACATTCATATGAAATTTTTTTCTTGTGATATGTCCAAGAATCACTCTCTTAAATATTAACCTCCATTAAGGAACACCCAGTATATTTGAATTAATTCTAAGAGATAAATAAGTGGATATATTTATTATTTACTAAATCATAAATATATTTTTTTAATTTTTACTTTTCTACCAAATGGTATTTGTACCAATGAATGTGAAGAATTTCTACTTACATATTAAACATTTATTGACTCTTATTAAGTATATCTCGTTTTTGTGTAAATAGTACAAACCTTTTTCTTTATCAATAAGCTTGTGGCATGTTTAAACTGTTTTCTTTTTTCCCGCAGAAATACAAGAAGATGCGAAGGAGACAGGTAAATATTTTCTTTAATCTACTTCGTTTCTTTCAATATATTTTTTTCTTTTTTTTAACATTTATTCTATTAATTCTTTCTGGCTTGTTGCAAACTTAATATACCAATAATATACTATATTCACTACAATACCTTTTTATTTAAATCTTGTGTTACGAATTGATCTTTTTTTCGTATTTTCTCTACTGTTCCAGGGAGACAGCACGGGAGAGATAATCTCAGCAGGAGAAGTGGTAAGTAACGAATGTTTCAATAATAAGTAGGATAAAACTTAAAATGATACATTACCATAAAAAGCCAGTTATACTTTTTTGGATATTATGTTAATCTAGGTTTTATAAGGTAAACGCCTATACTTTTACTTAGTATATTTCTTTTTATTTGCATAAATATTACACAAAAATTTATTTCAGTATCATTCTAATATATGGAATTACTAATTTATAATTTTATTAGAATAATAAATAATTTTAATATTTTATTATATTATTAATTTAATACACTGGCCACAACTGTTTTGCAAATTATTAATGTTTTAAATCAGTGAATAATAGCAATGTGTGCTTAAAATATTGTTTTAAACATATTAATTTTTTAATAGGCTAACTAGGGATTAAGTAGTGATTAATACTCTTAAAAATTGAGGACCGAAAAATGAACAAATGGTAATCATATATCAAGAAATTATGAAAATATTTTAAAACAAGCCACTTTGCTTGTTTATGTTATTAGTATGTGATAAAGTATATGCGGATTTTAATTTGTTTTATAATACAAAGTGATCTCTGAAATTCACTCAAAATTCCATAATAAATTGAATCTTTTAAAAAAATATTTAACGTACATTATCCAACGTATTATTTTTTTAGTGTAATATTTATTTTCATTAGGTCGTGGGTCCTCCTGGTCCACCCGGACCAGCCGGAACACCGGGACTACAGGGTCCTCCAGGAATCAAAGGAGATAGGGGGATGGACGGTATTAAGGGCGAACCCGTAAGTAATTATTATATGTTTAAAATTTAGAAAACCCCGTATAAAATACGCATACCGTTTTCATTTTTTACATTATTCTCAAATGTCATATTTGATCGAAAAAAATAGATTATAATTATTTCTTATACTAAAAACTACATTAACATATCAAACATTTAGTTTTTTTTAAACACTTTTCCTCAATTTGTATAGGGTAAGGCAACGCTAAAGTTCATTGTTATTTGTTTTGGAGAATTATGAAAAATTTTAAATAGAAAAGTTTTAAGGAATGTTAAAATACACTATTAAGAATTACTTTTGAGTAGACCGGGTGGTTTAAAAACGATCTGCGGATATAACATGTTTTTTGATTGTGTTAATGTGATCAATTTCCTTTTAGGGTGAAAAGGGTTCAAAAGGTGATTCTGGACCCATGGGCTTACCTGTAAGTAGAACGATATTTTCTTTATTGCAAGGTATACCGTTAAAATCCACTTTTATTTATAGTAATAGAAAAGAAAATATCTTTGAGCTGCTTTAAAAATAAATATTTTTAAAGCAGCTCAAAGAAATTCGAATTTATGTGTCAATTTTATGTGGTACCAATCGGCATTGCTGCTTGACGTTTTTTTTTATAATACAGTAGTACTACAAGTAGTACTACAACAGTACTACACGTAGTAGTATAGTGCGAACAAAAGGGTTTAAGAATAGCATGCATATTATTTAAATTTAAAATAATCTAAAAAATAAAAAAAAATATAAAAAGAACATCGTAAAATTCTATAGGATAAAATTATTACATCCAAAAATTGTTGTGAACGAACAATAACCCATGACATTGTATGAGATAACAACATAAAAATATATTTTTTTTATTATACAGGATGAGTGCAAAGTTAAAAAAGTGCAAATATTTTCAGGGCAGTTAGATCTCGATACAAGAAACATATTTTCTCTTTACAGCTGTATTTGAAATAAATCCAAAATAACCGAAATTTTACTTTGAAAATTTCCAAAAAAAAATGATTTTTTGCTAAAATTTTGAGAACCGCTGGATCTTTTCTGGATTTTCTTTCTTGTAAATTTAGTCTACTAGCTATGTTGCCAGCCTACTAGCTATGTTTAAATTTCCAAAATTTTTTTAAAAAAATTCCAAATTTTAAAGAAAAAAATTTCAAGAAAAAAGAACCTCATAATCGTGTTTCTGAGGTCGAATTATACTACCCCTAAAAATATTTGCACTTATTTAAGACTCATCCTGTATAAGTTCATAAGTTTTCATCTCAGCATGTGCATTAATTAAAATTTATCCAAAACAATATTAATATATAGTCTGTCAAATGAGTCAAGAAAGATGTCGACAGACAGCGTCCGCAAATGACAGAAAATAGTGACTCACCCAGAGATAAAAAAGCCACATTTGGCATGTGAGTATATGACAAATTAGGATTGATTGACGCATTCAATCGTTTTTGCTCACTTCTTCTTTCACCGGAAATTACTACAACTTTTGATTTTTAAATGGCACTTTCGATACTTTTTTATTCATTTGATAGAAAATGATATTCTGAATAGAATGGCATATCATATGTTAACTTTTGACATATTCAATTTAAAAAAATAGCATTTTAAATTTTAATTTAGAAAAAAATTCAGTTATGATTAAAAATACGATTGGGGCATCTTTTAACCGGCATTTAAATCTATTTTTCCAAGGCTCCTTGATTAAGAATTAGTGTTTTTAACACTGCCATGGTACTCTAGATTGAAATTTAAAATACAATTTTTTTTAAAGCCAAATTGTCAGAAGTTGACATATCATTTGTCATTCTATTCGTTTTGTCACATATCATTTGTCATTCGAGTGTCATTTTCTATCGATTAAAATAAAAAAATACCGAGGGTGCCATTTAAAAATCAAAATTTGTAGTCATTTCCGATGAAACAGGAAGTACCCAAAAACAAATGAATACGTCAATCAATCCTGATTTTTCTCTTATACTAACGTACCCAATCTTGTTTATTAATCTGAAAAAATAAAAAAGTTGTAAGGGTGAGCCACTTTTGAGAAACAGCCGGTATACTTGCGAATCAAAATTATATTAAAAATAATGTATATACAGGGTGAGTTTCCTACGATGTTCTCTATGGGTATCTCGGAAACTACTGGAGATAGAGAGTCGGTTAAATGGGGAAAGAATTGCAGTTTTGTGGTGTCATAAATATGCGCCTTTCAGATTTTTGAAAAAGTTCATGGCTTACTAGATATTCCGAAAAAAACAAATTTCGGCTATTTTAAAAATTGTCCCTAATTCCATTATAAGCTATTTTAGACAAAAAGTTTTCAGATAAAAGTTGTAGATAATCACAACCTTAATGAGACTGTGTCCTCCGTTTTTTTTTTCTAAAGCCTGTAATTTTTGACATATGACACAAGCATAGGTTTTTTTAAATGGAAACCATAGTTGGCCATGATTTCATAAGAAGCGCCATTTTTTAAGCTTTTCAGCGATATAAGATATAATATGTTTTCTTCGAAAAATTACTGAGTTATAGCCAATTCTTATCATTTTTAAACAATTTCACTTAGCCATGGAAACAAGTTTAATCGTCTTTTAGTCGCTCTCATAAATGTGAAGCTGTCACATCCAAACTTTGTAAATTAAAATAAACAAAAATTGTAAATATGAATTTTTCAAATGAAGAAAAGCGTGTAGGATTATTGGTTCAACTTTTCTTGACCATACATTTTCGAGGATACGTTGACCGGTAAATGTTACGTTTTTTAGAAAACGGTTTTTAAGACGTTAGAAAAGTTAAATTTAGTTATAGCCAATTTTTATCTCTCTTGACTAATTTCACTTAGATTGTACGGTATTCTTATTCTATTAACATTTATAACTTATAAAAAGTCAAAATATATTACTAAACGGTTCTTTACAATTTACATTAGCCAAACTAATACTTAAATAAAATAATATCACTACATACACTAAGTTATTTTAGAAAATGTTCAAAAAATCCGCCATTGTTTTGAGTTGCATCTTTTTAAAACTAAATTACTACCTACCTATTCTCACAGAAGGACCGGTCGACTTAATTAAACTTTTCTCGTACCGCCACTTCGAGTGCCTCTCTTAATTCATAAGTTCTTTTGTAAACCTTATTGTTAACTATACCGCATAAAAATTCTAAAATGGATAAGTCAGGTGATCGGGGAGGCCCATGCATTTAGTCCACCTCTTCCTATCCCTGCGTTTGTATAATTATGATATAAATAATTTTTAACATTTCTTTCATTATGGGAAACCACTTTATTGATGCGCGAGTATCTACACGCTTTTCTTCATTTGAAAAATTCATATTTTCAATTTTTGTTTATTTTAATTTACAAAGTGTGGATGTGACAGCTTCACATTTCTGAGAGCAACGGCGATTGAACTTGTTTCCATGGCTAACTAAGTGAAATTGTTTAAAAATAATAAGAATTGAACTCAGTAATTTTTCGAAGAAAATATATTATAGCTTACATCACTAAAAAGCTTAAAAAATGGCGCTTTTTATGAAGTCATGGCCAAGTATGGTTTCCATTTAAAAGAAACCTATGTTTGTGTCATATGTCAAAAATGACAGGCTTTAGAAAAAAACGGGGAATACAGTCTCATTAAGGATGTGATTATCTACAACTTTTATCTGAAAACTTTTTGTCTAAAATAGCTTATAATGGAATTACGGACAATTTTTAAAATAGACGAAATTTGTTTTTTTTTTCGAAATATCTAGTAAGCCATGAACTTTTTCAAAAATCTGAAAGGCGCATATTTATGACCCCACAAAACTGCAATTCTTCTCCATTTAACCGACTCTCTATCTCCAGTAATTTCTGAGATACCCATAGAGAACATCGTAGGAAACTCACCCTGTAGATACACCTTGGTGGCATGTGCAATTCTTTAAAAAAAAACCTGGATAGTTTACCACTTAAATGTAGATATTGTCTCTAGTTAAAATCTATCAAGAAAGTCCAAGACTTCTTGTCAAAATCTTGCAACAAAACAAAGACGAAGACCATGACTGCCATAAAGTCCTGGTCTTGGTCTTGCAATTTGCTCATCACTAAATCTAATAAAAGGAAATATAGTTGAGTCTGATTTTAATTATTATTTTTTTTTAATTTAGGGCCCCATGGGACTTAGAGGAGAAAGCGGCAGGACAGGAGACTACGGAAAACCCGGCCCCTTGGTAAGGAAAACTTACTATAACTAGGCCAGGTCCAGTGCCTGTCACCAGCCGCCAAACGAAAATCACCTAACAAATTAGATTAACCAAAAACATTTCCGAAAAAAAATACAAAAAAAATCCGTGCGCGTCGTACAAGTTTGAAAACAAACAAACAATAAATAAATAACGAAAAAGAAAAAAAACATTTGTTATGTGATTGGCCTAAAAGTGTGTTTTGTGCTCGTTGATGATTTTTTGCGTTTTCCATTTTGTTTTTCCATTTTTATTCCGTTGTTTTTTGCCAATCCATATTTTTGTAACAAAAAAAATTCAGACTAACGAGGATATTTTAGGAGGACAATAATAATAGCTGGTGAGGGCGCGCAGAGGTATAAAAGACGTTTCGGATCTTTTATAAACGACGTCATCTGGCAACACTGCGTCGCCGGTACACCCACATACAACACACAAAACAACACACGCTTTTGTATAAATTCTTCAGGAAAAAATGAAAGAAAGTGTAATTTTTCTACTTAGAGAAAGAAAAAAGATCGTAAACGATTTGAAATAACTTCAGAGAAATAGGTAAATATAGAGGAGCACTAACGTACACTGACACGAAAGACACCTTAAAATTTTCATATAATTTAAACTTCGATCTATTTTCTTCTAGTAGGCAGATTTTGGTGATTTTTTAAGTTATGTGTAGCTAAATTATTTGATTTTTCAGCCTCCTTTTAAGTACGAAATTAAATTACACATTTTCTATTATACGAGGGATAACAAAAATATTACCACCTTAGCGAAAGTTTGAAACGTTCTGTGGAATGATTACAGATATTGGTTTATTTAATAATATCGTCCCATTGCTGCCAAAAGTCACTAACTTACTTTTTATTACTTCCGAGAAAAATGCGTCTAAAAATGAATTGCATTGCATAAAGATGTTATAGTTAGTAACTATTCGGTATTAAAATAAAACATAAATAGCCAGAAATCGTAGTTAATGACTTTTGCAGTCGATTCTCCGCTTCAAAACATAGTTAGTGATTGAATTTGGTTGTTCAGAAAAATGTTAGTTAGTGACTTTTGGCAACAATAGGACGATATATAAATTAATATATAAAGTAGTTTTAAAATTCCTTATTTTGTTGAACCACAAGATGTTTTGAATTTACTCCAAAATAGCAACATTTTATTTTTCTTCGTATAGTAGACACATAGGAACTTTAAATTTTAATTTACGAAGAGGCTAAAAATCAAATAATTTGGCTACAAATTGATTAAAAAATCACCAAATTCGACCCACTAGAACAAAATACAATATGATCGAAAAAAAAACGGCGCCAGCAATCATTTTATACAGGGTGTTCCGAACTGTATTCCGGAAACTTTAGCAGCATATTCTGCAGATAAAAATAAGTAAAAAGTTTGTATAAATGTATGCCCTAAAATGATTAGTTTCGGAGGTGCAGGGTGTAGAAGTTTCAATTTTATTTCGATTTTTTCCGAATAATTTCTGAAGTAACGTCAATATTTGGATGAAAATTGGTGTCTGGGAGTTTTTTGACATGAGAAATATGATTTTGATGTCAATATGACTCCTACTTGTAGAAGGCGCCACCTACATATTTTTTAACTGATTTGAAGAGTAATAACTTTTCGTTTGACTGTATAAAACTAGTGAGTTAAAAAATATACATTTACGACGTTTTTCTACGTAAAAAAGGTCTCTTGGTAAAAATCGCTATGAGTAAATTGTTCTCGAGATACTTGGAATCGAAATTACCAATACCTGTCATCATTGACATAAATTAAACATGTTGACTAAATAGCCATAGATAAAAGACTTATAATATTAAATAGATAGGCAACTTATAATACATTTCAATTTTATTATACAAGGGCGCATCTGGTAGTCGGAGGAAGAAATACTGGAAGAGAGGGGTGCGGGGAAGAGGGGTTATTTTAGTTAATTTAAAATAAATTTAGACATACATGTAAGAACACTTTGTGTGCTTTTAATTAGGTCGAACATATTATAAACGATAAATCAACTTAATTAAAAGCATACAAAGTGTTCTTATATGTTGGATATTAATTAAAAAAATATTAAAAAGACTAGTAATAGTATATAATATATTAAGTTGTTACAGTTATAATTTAATCTTTGGCGGTTTTCAGCAAATAGCAGGCAGTTTTACATCATTTTCGTCCCTTTGAAGTGAATTTGAAACGGCTATATAATTTTGGTGTAGGCAAGATTCCCATTTTGTTTCCGTTTGTGACCTGGAATAATAAAAACATATTAAATTAGATTTAATCATCTGCTGATCATGCTAATATAACGCAACGCGCGTCCTTAATTCCTTACATGCACCGTAAAAAAATTAAATAACTGCTCTGCAAGTAGCATTTATTAGCAGCACTAATTTAAAAAATCTATAACTATAAGTAGATATATTTAATTTACTTACCATTGTATCCTTCGGAAACCTGGGGTACAACAATTAAACTCCATGATAAATGGACACACAAATTGTCCCACCATTTTTAAAAAAACATTGTCTAAAACAGAATACTGGCAAAAAATCAGAAGGAATTTAATTTTACAATAAATCGACAAATCAAAACGAAATCAAACCGTAAAATCACAACAAAAGCGTTCTAAGTGTCAGTTAAAAATCAAATTTTATTATTGTCAGATATTGACATTTGCATTGTTGACATTGACAGTTTTAATATTTTGCGCCTCTGCATCTTGGAGGAAAAACTATTTTTATTGAACTGTCATTTCCATTTAAGTTTCCCAGCCATGACTAAATAGTTATTAGACTGAAATCATAAATTTGAAATGTTTTTGTGCCAAGAATTCAACAGAAACTGCTTTATCATCATTTTTTCGAAGAAAAATTTATGATTAGTTTAAAAAAATAAAAAGTTCCTAAATTTCTCATTTCAGTCAAATAACTATCTGCTCAAAATGTGTATTTTTAGTGAATAATAAGATGCATTGACTATTTCCAACTATCTTGAGAAAGGTTGCTCGTAGCTATATTTACCAAGAGACCTTTTTTACGTAGAAAATCACGGAAATGTATATTTTTTCACTCAGTAATTTTATACAGGTATAGACAAAAGGTTATTACTCTTCAAAACAGTTAAAACACATGTAGATGGCGCTCCCTACAAATAGGAGTTATATTGACATCAAAATCAAATTTCTCAAGTCAAAAAACTCCCAGACACTAATTTTCATCCAAATATTGACGTCAATTCAGAAATTATATGGAAAAAATTGAAATAAAAATGAAACTTCTACAGCCTGTATCTCTGAAACTAAGCATTATAGGTCATACATTTATATGAATCAGTAAAATATGCTGCCGAAGTTTCCGGAATACAGTTCGGATCACCCTGTATATAAAATTATATGAGAAATGTCATCGACGTTCATTGCCAAACCAACTGAACGCCGTTTTTTGTTTATTACATTAAGGTATCCGTTTTTCGTGTCGGTTAGTGTATAATTAACATTCGTTTAGTTTATGTTATATATTCATTAACATCAACAAATATTTTGGGAAGTCTCTAAATAAACTTATTTCTCTGAAGAATAACGCTGTATATGTATCGCTATTATTTTATTTATTTGATTAGCAGTTAAAATTTGTTGTTGAATTGTATAAAAAAGTAATGATAAAACTAATATATAATTGTAACAAACGATGCAAAAAATTAACGTACATTGAACGGGTTATACTAACATAAAAATAGAGCTATCATTTGTTACAATTACAATTTTTATTGAGTCTTTATGCTCTGTTAACTAGTGAGCAAAATTCAGTAGATATATGTGTTATGCCATATATATTTTAAATAAAGCCATTTAACAAACAAAAAACAGACTTAAACCAAAATACTTTTTCTCAAATGTATTTCCTCAAAAAAAAATTAAGAAATATACATACCTACATATAATCTTATTGAAAAAGTTTATGGCGAACCAAAAAACTCATTTTGACAGATGTCACACCTGTAATGGTGGCAAATTGACAACTCATCTTCACTTGCAATAAATGGATATACGACAAAATATCAAAAAAATGGCAAACTAAAATGTTTTAACAGATCATAAAGACTCTTATTGTATTATGCTAGACAAACAGTAAGAAAAAAACTCAGACGTCCATTGTAGTACTTATAAATTAAAAAAAAACATTTTTGAAAGATAAATCTTATCAATCTAACCTTTAACTTTAGTTTTTTCCATTTGTAAATATTTCTAAATAAACTAATTTTAATACTTCTTAAATAGACCATGACAACCTGAAAACTGAACATGGTAAATCGATTAAAGTCAATCTTTGTTATGTGTATAATAAAAGTAAAGGTTAGATCGATAATATAATTAAAATTTAATATTACCTAGAAGTTCTTCTTAATATTTACTTAAAAATTCTTATAGGAATATACATACATTAAAAATTATAAAATTATGACTACCTATACTCTTTATATTTTGTTAAAGTTATGAAGTTAAAGGCAATTTAAAAATACTTTATATACAGGGTGACTCAGGATGTTATTAAAATGTCCGATATAATCAGATTTTCTGTCTTTTTTCAAAAATACAGTCTCATTCTAACTATACAGGGTGAGTTTTCTACGAAGTTTTCTATGGGTATCTTGGAAACTACTGGAGATAGAGAGTCGGTTAAATGGGGAAAAAATTGCAGTTTTGTTGGGTCATGAATATTCACCTTTCAGTTTTTTGAAAAGGTTCATGGCTTACTAGATATTTCGAATAAAACAAAGTTCGGCTATTTTAAAAATTGTTCCTAATTCCATTATAATCTATTTTAGACAAAAAATGTTCAGATAAAAGTTGTAGATAATTACGTCTCTTAATAAGATCGTGTTCTCCGTTTTTTTTTTCTAAAACCTGTCATTTTTGACATATGACACAAACATATAAGTCATGACCAACTATGGTTCCATTTAAAAAAATATAAGTTTAT